TTTATAAGCCAAGGAAAAATTATTATTATTCTACTAATCAGAAATCATTTCTTTTCGAGCAAGTTTGTTAGTCCATGTACAATTTACTAGTGTTGAAGGGACCCGTGTACGCTCGAATCTGGTCAATGGGTCATTAGCTGCAGTCCAGGAGAAAAAACAAAGCTATTAAGAATTAAGAAACGGATTATTCTTAAGACCAGAATGATGCCAAGTGCCAAAGGACGCAATTAACTATTAATTAACTACTCTCATGTCAATTAATAATATGTTACTATGTGAAAGGGATATTTTGGAGATCAAAGTTGGAAGGCTTTTTCAACAATTATAGGGAGAAGTGAAAGCTTTTGATATTCTCAAAGGTTGAACTGATTAGGTATCCAATGATAGTGGTACTTCACTACATCCCATAGACCAACATTAATAATTACGTAAAACAAGTTTATTTAATCCACAATTATGGCTCCCTCGAGTCCCCAGCTGTCGCAGTGGGCCTGAAATTGTCGACCGTGGTGCTAAACCTCGGAGCATTATAATGGATCCGGTATCTAGGGTCTCAAACAAATCAAGTTGCTTGCAAATCGGAATCGGTCAAAATTCGAGTCGAGTTCGAACCGACCAAATCGAGTTATTAAACTCAAATTGAGCATAGAGAAGCTTAATTAGTTAGCTCATGAGCCAAATTGATTACATGCGTACATATATTATTTTTATTTTAATAGTAAAAATTACATATATATATATATATATGTCTCCAACATTTTTATGCTTTATTAAGGAAAAATAAATATTTTATTCATTTTTTAAAATATAAAATAATTAATTTGACTTTTTTAAGCTCAAATAGGTTCGGGTTTGAGATTGACTAGATTCGAATTTAAGATCGAATTCAAAGTTGAATTTTATATTAAAAACTCATCGAATTCAAATTCGATAAAATTAACTTGAAACTTGACTTGACTAGGTCAAACTTGATATGCGACTCGACTCATTTGTACCCTTATTAACACCTAACCCGTTGAACAAATTTGTGACCCGAACGGTCTCATTTCGTTGGCTAATAACTTAGAATATTGTCCAAAAAAAAGAAAAATCGGACATCTATAGGTCTGACAAGTAATATGTATTGAACTATTGCTGCCGGACTGTGTAAAAGGCAAACAATTTTTTTTTTTTTTAAATAACCGCACAGCCCGGCAGCCAGTTGAGATGTTTTGAGCTGTTGGAAGTAAGAAAGTTATGAGCAATTGGAAGCATGGATCTCAACAAAAGATGTTTTGCTTGCACAGGGGTCGAGGATAGTAACCCCTGGCAACAAAAGAGCAGGCGGCGTACCAAAACAATTGAGAACTGCGCTAACTAGATCGGTATATAATCCGGTAAACAAAATGTACGCCACTATTCAGCTGGAGCATTCAAATGTGTTTTTGCTGTGATCCTTTCTTCTGTTCTAACATGTCCACTTGTTGGCCTGTAAAGTTCAAGTGCAAATTAATCTCTACAACAGCTGGATATGTTTTCGACATACATGAAAAAAAAAGGCACGAGTGCAAGAAGAAAGAAAGATACAGGTAGTATTTGTTATAGTAATCAGCCCTCTTAACACAAGATTTAAAATGCCAATTTATTATAACCGTCCGCGTAACAAGAAGATTTTACCGACTTCTTCAGCAATTTATCCATTTCCAATTATGCCACACAAACCTCATCACGCCCAGGTCGAGTGGTCGAGTCTGCCTCTCTATCGCTTCGGGTCTCTTGGGGGTCAGGGGCTCAGGGTGCAGTGGGATTAGTCGGGAGTACAACAATCCCTCCGGATATCCATTGTATTGACAAAAAAAAAAAAAAAAATTATGCCACACAAACAATAACAGCTCAACATTTTTACAGAATGAGTACATACAATTAGCAACAAATAAACATCCAAACTTATTTTCCCACACCCCTGGTAATTTTACCCGCTTTGAGTAGGCAGAGACATGATTGTGAAAAAGGTAAAACTGGAGCAAAAAGGTTCGTAAAAGACAAATTGAGTCAAATATAAAGATGAAGAATGACTTACAATCCATTCAACACTTTAATGGTGTCATAGAAAAACCATTGCAAAGTCACAACAGGCCCAACCAGCATAATCCTAATTGGAAGACTTCTTGTAAATAGATTAACAAACCCAATTCTCCTCACAGCCTGGTAACATAAACGACAATATTAAGCATAGAGCAGCATTTGTCAGTTCAATATACACCACTTGTCAGACCTATAGATGTCTGATTTTTTTTTTTTTTTGGCAATATTATCAAGCGCAATTGATCCATGGGCATAGGGTACCCAAATGACACGGTACCTGGCATACCGATTTGGGGACCTGACCTGATACGTAAGTTTAAAAGAAATTTTACATTTCACTAATTGACAATTGAAACTAAGTAGAAGTCTAGAAAACATGATTATTGATTCATTATTCATTAAAAGGATAGCTATTCATTCTCACTATTCATAGCACACAAGTTTTTAGAATAACATTTATTCACAATAACAAAAAAAAGAAAATTTTCCTTCACGTATGTGACAAAAAGAATGTCCACTTTTGGTAGAATTTAGCATGGACATGGAAGCCTCCTTTTCGTTTTCCAAGTAATTATATAGACGTACCTTCTCAAGTTTATATAGTAACTAGTCTTTACACTTTTTAACTAAAAAAAAAAAACTCAGGCTTCTGTAATCTTGATTTTAATTCCAGTCATGAATTTATTAATATCTACTGAAACTAGCACGATAAATGCATGAAATTATTAAACTTGGTCATTCAAATATTTTAATACTTTACCTTTTTTTTTGGTTATTATCACTTTACCCCCTTAACGTTTGGTGTCACTATCAATTTCCCCTTTAATGTTATTTTCTAGTCACTTTACCCCCAAGACTAATGGTCAAACTTAATGGAGTTTGTTAATTAAAGTAAAAAGACAAGTTTAGCTCTAAAAGTTATTATCACTTTACCCCTATAAATTATAGCCTCATTATCCATTTACCCCATAGAATTATTTTTTAGGCAATTTCTCCAACCATTAAACCAATTCAACAAGTTAAAAAACTTTGGAGAAAGTGCCCTCCTCATTGTATAATAAAAACAATAAAAATTTGAAAGTGGCTCTTTTCATCTTTAGTATCAAGAAAAAAGTCAAAACATTAATCTCTTTCTTTTTCACAATCTTATTAATATTAAAACAAATAGAAAGATTGGGAGAGGGAGGGAGAGAGAGAGAGAGATAGAGAGAGAGCTCAATTCTAATTTTCTGTCTCCTTCTTTTCCTATCTCTTTTTCTTTTCCTAATATTAATAAGTGCGAAAAAAGAAATTTGAGAAAATCCTTTTATTTTAATAATTTTGGATCTCTTAAAGTGGAAAAAAGAAGAATAATCATTCCAACTTTTTTTATTTTAAATTATATATAAAAGGGTCAATATATTTAAAAATTTTTGACCATACTAATTAGATTAATGATGAAGTAAAATGTCTAGAAAATAATATTAGGAATTAAAGCGATTATATCACTATAATTTAAAGAAATAAAGTAATAACAACAATATAGTAATGCTATAGAATAATACACTTGTTTTTTCTCCTCTGATAATACACTTGATAATAACCCTAAGCAAAATTACACTTGTTTTTTTCGAGAAGCAAATACATTTCCTTCAAGGCGATACATGTTATAGAATCAACTAACTAGTAATCACGAAGAATTAAAAGGGAGTGTCAAAGTGTCAAACTTATAAACTGCATACAATCTTGGATCATCCATTACACACGACATTAACGCATTAAAAAAAATAGCATTAGATGTAAGAATTATTACAAATGTCTATCATAATAAATAGACTACAATTGTGCCCGTATTCAAAAATTTTCTCCTCTGTAATGTTTTTCCCTTCAATGTTTATCCCAAACAACTTAAGTGAATAGCTTGTTATTTGATTTTTACATGCTTAAGTTTTTTTTTTTTAACATCTTATATGTATAGTGAGTAGTATTTAGGAAGCAATCAATCCTCACTTTCAGATGGACCGACACTTTATATGGGATGAATTCCTTGATTTGTTTACTAACTTCATTATTTCCTTGCAACTTCTCTAAATCGCTGCATTGCCTGATTCTCAGGCACTGGAGCTGCGGCAATGCACCTTTCTCCACACTTATTGGGTCATCCGTGAGATCTCTAAATTTCAAAGACAAACGAGAAAGATTTGGAGGGAAATCAGGAGGCAGCATTCTCAGAAACAGCCCGGATAGCTTAAGCTGTGTTACATGATGCAGCCTAGAAAGTCCGCCACCTAGAGACTGTGGCCCTCCCCATTGAGTCTGAAGATGAAAGGTCCTTAGGCTTCCAACCTTAAGAGTTTATGAAGGTTACATGAACTAGTAACTAGAACAAGAAAAATATAGTAATTCATTTAAATGCATTTTTGAATAAGGTGAGTTGCTAGTTTATTTTAATTCTGCACTTAGTGAAAACTAATTCATTTACTAAGAAAGTGGGTCAACAATCAGACCATGAGAGGATTTTGAATTAGAAGGGATAAATTTGATCATTTTCTTTTTGGTAACAAACAGATTAATGAGTTTACAAATTGGTTAATTAATCCGCTTGAATCACATATCTATGAACTTTTACTTGTTCTTAGATCTCTCTTATGTTTTTGAAGTACAACAGAAAACTGGTATCTGTTCTTGGACTTAATTGAGAGGGAAATGTCGAATTTAAGATAAATTTAAATGCAATCAAGGTTAAAAGTAGAAATAATATGGGCCATAATTAAGGCCTTGTTGGGAGACCAATTTTTTGTCAAGTTTATCTGCTACAAGTTTTTTTAAAAAATTTTAGTTGCAATAATCTTAAATTTTTAAAATTTTTAAACTATATATTTCAAAATATTTTAAAAAAAAACACACTATAAAAATTTTCTACAGTAAATTATAATAAAATTTTAGACAAACATAAAAAAAAAAAATCGTTTGCCAAGGTTATAGATTCCACGATGCCACTGCTTTGTCGTGTTGGTCAAATGAATCGAGAGCTAATCACTACACGACGCATGAATTACAGCTGCTACCTACTTTCACCTTTCCTTCGGCGAGTCAAAATATTCTGAGGTTAGGGACACCGGATACTGTGTCCGCATCAAGCCCACTGATGAAATCTTCTGACATGTCCTCAAGCTCAAGCTTATCGAGAGTAGATATGTGCATCAGCGCTTCCGGCAACTTCTTTAAGCTGCGGCAGCGCCTGATTCTCAGGCACTGGAGCTGTGGCAATGCACCTTTCTCCACCTGTATTTCACGCAAGGATTCTTGGTCTCTGAGCTCAAGGAATTTCAATTGGTGAAACCCATGCCTAGAAATGACCAGCTGCGGTCCCTTATACGCATCTTTCATTTTGAGGAACGACAGCTGTCCCAACTTCTCCAGTACTGGCATTGGGTCATTCCAGAGGAATGTGTCTTTCAATGACAAGCGAGAGAGATTTGGAGGGAAATCCAGCATTCTCAAACCCGACCCGGATAGCTTGAGCTCCGTTACATGATGGAGCTTAGACAGACCAGCTAGAGATGGCCACAGGCTCATGTCATCACAGTAAAGATGTAACGTCTTCAGACTTCCAACCTCAGATAAATGCATGCAGAGTTTGTCTATGTCTGATCGGTCATCCACCCAAATTCCCAATTGCTGAAGACTTGTCAGAGTTATCATGTTATTGTGCATAATGTCATCAAAGCGTATGCCCGACAGAGTCTGGAGATTCCTCAATCCTTCAATCTTAAGAGGCACATAACATTCCATATAACGCGCGTATAGATGCCGTAAACTTTCAAGCTTCCAAATGAAATTTGAAACGCTCACTCGGTTAAAGCTGATGTCAAGAGTTTGTAGGTTTCGCAAGCAACCGACGGAATCAAGGAGGCTTCCAATGAATATACCTCCTAAATTGAGGTACCTTAGAAGCCTGACTTCACCAATTCCTTTTAGCAAATTATAACCCATCCCAACATTCTCAAAGTCTAATATCCTAAGCTTTCTGAAACTTTTGGAGCTAAGACTAATGTCTTTCCCGTAACCGCGGCGTATATTGAAAAAAAGTAGAGACCGGAGAGGAGGGGACGAAGACCCAAGATAATTTTCATCCAGAGGGAGAACATGAACAGCAAGGTACCTGGATTTGGCTGATATTTCATTATCTCTGGTGTCATGGATCTGAAAGAAATTTTCATCCTCTGCCTTTCTGATTGCAAGCTCTCGCAGTAGATCATGGACTCTGCAGCTTTTAATCCTGTCATCAACAGTCATTTCCGCCGCTTGGACCATATTTCTGCTACAAAGTCGTTCCACACCATCATATGCTGCAGTTTCCTCCAAATTTACTGCATCTCTTTTCTGCATTATTCCCTCTGCAACCCACATATGGATCAACTTGCGCACAGAAATCACGGAGTCTTCGGGAAACAAACCCAAATACAAAAAGCAAAATTTCAGATTGGCAGGAAGGTCTGCATAACTTAATTCCAAAATTGCTGATACCCCACTCTGACTCCTTGATAGATATGCGCTAAAGTTGTTGAGAACTTTCTCCCATTCACTCTTCAACTTTTTCTTTGACAGCAGCAGGCCACCTACAACCGTGATGGCCAGCGGCAGACCACCACATCTTCTGGTAATCGCTCTGCCTACTTCTTCCAAATCGGGAGGACACCCAGCATTAGCTCCATGGCCTAAGGCCTTTTTGAGAAACAATTGCCAGCTGTCTTTCTGCCCCAAAGTTTTCAGCTCATGTGGTTTGCTAAGAGCATCTGCGTGTTGGGCCACATCCCGATTGCGACTTGTAAGTAGCACTCTGCTTGATGTGCCAACATCAGGAAAGGCCCTAGCAAGACAATCCCACGCTGCTTCCTTCCATACATCATCAAGTACCACAAGATAACATTTGTCTTGTAGATCTTGATAGAGCCTTTCTTCCAAGTCCTGCTCCTGCATCTTTTCCAACATGTCAAGTAGCTTTAATTGCTTTATGATTGCCCTCAGCGTCTCTTTGTGATCGTAGCTTGAAGAGACGCATACCCAAGCACGGCAGTTGAATCTTGCCCTGACGTCAGCATGGTTATAAACTTTCTTGGCTAGAGTTGTCTTACCAGCACCTCCCATGCCGACGATTGAAACCAGACGGCGGTTTTTGTCCTCTTTCAAAAGTTCTGACACCAGCGATTTTGTTATCTCCCCGAAGCCCACTGCATCCTTGTCCTCGCTGAGAGGAAAGGATCGCCGGATCCGTTGAAGCTCTTCCCCGTGTGTAGTCATCCCCTCTCCAAGATTTTTGACACCATACTCTTCGCGGCTATCAGCAATTTCCTTGAGCCTCATCCGTAAGGATTCAATCTCTTTACCTATCTTGTAGCGGTTCACAATTTTCAAGGGATAATACGTCAATTTGGTGACGAGTCCCTTGTTCTTTGTGAAGAACTCAACTTTGTTGGCAAATATCTCAATAATATCCTCCGCATCGTAGGCCGCAGCTCTGATTTCAGAAACCCAGTTGCGAATCCTCTCATCTTCATCTTGCCTCTGATCAGCATCTTTCAGGAAACATCGCATCCGGACCAGATCATTTTTGAGGCTATCAACTTGTCTTCGAACGCCTTTCAGGAAAACAATATTTTGAATCAGCAGATCGCCGGTTCTCTCAATAACAAGAGAGATAACAGGGTCAGCCATCTTGGTAAAGTGAGCTTTGCTTTCAACAACTAGTAAAGGAGGAGAAGCCTTTGCCTGTTAGGTGCAGCTGCAAAACTTCTAATCTCTGTTGTTTTTAACTGATCTCAGAAGAGATGCTCGATTCAGTCCAAAAGAGAGCAGTTCGATTCACATGGTAGGACCGTCTGGTAGCCCTCCGAAAAAGAAAAAATGGTGCAGCTGGTGACGTGTTTTGGGACGGTGGAATGGATGAAGAATAATTAAATAAGGAAATCAAACGAGCCCGGTTTGTTTGGATTGAGCATTATTTTTCTAATTTTATTTATTTAAATTATTATTATAATTTTTAATATATTTTTTATCTTTTTAATTATTTTTTTATCTCATATATATCACATCACAAAAAATACTATAGTAAAAATATCTCAAATAACTTATAATCCAAACAACGAAGGATGAAGAATGAACTAAGTAATGTGTAATAGTTAAATTTCCCATGTACTAATTCACATTTATAAGTTTTTTCTTTTTTTTTTTCAAAACTAAACTTACAAATAATTAGAAAAGAAGAGTTTTTTTTTTTTAAGAAACATTTAAGTGGATTCAAGCTGCGGTTAACCACCAAGCCCTTGGGCTGGTGGCGGGCTTGGTGGGGTGGGAGGCAAGGGTTCAAACCTTGCCTCCCACCAATATGCCATTCTTGTGGCTTGCTTCAAATCCAGACGGGTGCGTCGTGCACCCGTTTGGTCCGGTGGTGGTTCTGTCCCTATCGGTCCCCATAGGTTCAGTTAAGCCTCCCCGTAGATAGAATAGGAGTAGGAGTAGGATTGACAATTGACAAAAAAAAAGATTCAAGCTGCGGTTGAGGTGGATATTTGAATGTAACACTTTTAGATGCATAGAAAGCGGACGGCCTAAGTGAACGTCAAACGGTGGTATAGTGGATATTTTGCTGTTTTTGTGTGCATAATTAGTTTTTAAAATTTAAAGTTGTCTAAATTTTTAATTCAATAACACCTTACTACCTGAATTTTTAAGTGCAAAAAAACTTCCAAAGAGAACAAATTTTAAAAGAAGAAGACTCCCAAAAGCAGAAAAGAAAAAAAAAAAAAACCCCCTCCTTCAACTTGTGTGGTCCACGAAATTATCTTCAAGAAACAAGTTTTGCTTTATGAGGAGTGTTTGGATAGGATATTATTTGAAATATTATTTGGAATATTTACTGTAGTATTTTTTGTGATGTGATGTATGTGAGATAAAAAATTGATTGGGAATATAAAAAGGTGAATTGAGAAATGTGTTTATGATGCAAGCGAAATATTATTTGGAATAATATGTATATCCAAACAAATATTCAATAACTGTATATTATTGAAAATTTTTAACTTTCAGCACCATTATTCCTAAATCTGTATATTCATGAATGCGCAATAGTTATATAGTCGATGAATTGGGATTTCGCTATATTGAATTCTGCAATTTCAAATAAATTTGGACTTTTAAATTGCAATAAGTAGTATAGTAGCCTAGTAGGTTCCATTCAACAAAATTTAATTGAAATTTGGTTAGTTTAGTTCAATAATAACTCCGTTTTTTTTCAAACTATTCGGTTTCGCTTTTCGTTCTTTTTTCCTTTTAAATTGGTGGAGGCTACAATCCATTACATCCAAATTGGACGGAATGGATACTGGTTTTCCGTTTTTGGCATGCTTCGGGTTTTGGGTTGCATTCTTCTCAAAATCACAGCCTTGATTGCTGTGTTTGTGTGTCGGCAGAAATTTATTGGCTGGAAGATAGGTACGCGCACATGCCCAATTAGATTAGACAGATCTCAGGAAAAGATCTCAGTTAACGGCTAAACGAGAAGAGTACAAAAAATTCATGTCCAATGACAGGAGAGGGCTCCTGTGAACCTGAGCCCATGTTAAAGAATCCGCGTCTAACTAATGTGGGAGGGATATTGGCTGGTATTAAGTGTCCATGGTTTTGGATGCCATGGTATAGTCTTAGTATGAACAGGCAACAATCAATCAATTTTCCACAACCAAGACGCTTTTATGGGTCCACGGTTTTGGATACTATAATAATAAAGTCTAGGTCTTTGGTACGGCGGACGCCTCTACAGTCTAGTATCAAAATTGTACAAGTGGTGTGGAAATTAATAAAACATAGAAGAAGAAGTCAGATTAAAACTTGTCAATTAATACAGCCAAAAGCCCAGCAATAGGCCATCGGGTGAAAAGTAAAGAAGAGTATTAGTTGTTCAATGTAATATGAAAATATTATAACATCAATTTGTTAAACAAGAATAAAATAGTCATTTATAAAATCAATTTGTTAAATATATTTATTTATAACTTCGAGTTTCGAATGTTTTATGCTACCTAAGAAGTTTTAGAAAATAACATCAACTTTAACTTGATAGTCATTTATAGTCATGGTCAAATTAGTTTACAAATTAGATTATATTATAGGGAAATAATAGAGTCGATGTAATTGTTAGAATAAAATGTCATTATTATAATAGAAGTAAATAACCCCAAGTTATCATATGATCTAATGGACCAAATGAACTCTTCATGAAATGAGCGGTGGTTACTTATCTTCGGATGAGTAATCTTGTTGTCAAGTGTTTGGTTAGTTTTACATTAGATGTTTAGTTTAACAGAAAAACCAAGTTCCTTGTGTTTCGTCGGGAATAGGATGAGATGTATTTACTTACTTATAGACCAAAATTGATTTTTGGCAAATTTACTATTAATTCTATCAATAATAGGGGTAAATTAGTCCAAAAAAATAAAGTTTAATTGTCATGGCCAATGTATTCCAACACATAAATTTTGTATTCATAGGAGCGGGTTTTAGAGAAAACATTATTTATTTCTTTAACATGGGTAAATGCATAAAAAGTTTCGTTTTGTTAGTTGTATGACCACATCAGTCCAAAACCATGGTATATGATTAACATAGATTAGTCCAAAACTTAATTTTTTTCATTCATTTTTTGATTACATATATTAATATTAAATTTACAAAAAACATGTCGATTTAATGAAAAGGTTATCATTTATAGGATTGTAAAATGAGTTGAATCGACTCAATTTTCTCGACTTCCAACACGATCCTGAGCTCCACAAGTTTTCATTGTAAAACTAGAGTTCAACATTGATCTCGAGTTCGAGCATAGTTGAGCTTGAGAGAAATAAGGGAAAAATCCACTTTTTATCCTCAAACTTTGTGACGAAGACATATTTGGTCCCCAAATTTTTCGTCAGAACACATTGAGCACATGATTAACGATTTTTTGCCACATTTAGTCAAAAAAAGGGAATTTACTCAATTTGGACGGTGAAGACCACGTGGCTGTTAACAAATGTCCAAATATCAATTTGTAGCCAACACAAGTCAGACACAAGTCTACACTTGACTCTCTCTCTAACGCACTGCTTTTCTTCTCCAAGTTTTCCACTTTCCCACCGAGTTAAAGAAGTGAAAAGCTGCTTGAGATTAGCTGGAGTGATTCAACAAAGTTTTTCCAATCCAGTATATTTAATATAAATTAAATGATTCAGAGTAAAATGCTCATAAATAGTTATTACTTTGTTCGTGTAATAGAGGAAACCCATAAAGAGCTGATATGTTATCGGCAATTTCTTTTTTTTTTTACTTTCACGTATTTAATTTATGTTAAATACAAAACCTACTAGTTTTCCTTTCGTAAAAATATTAGTATATCACTTTTTAAATTTTACTTGCAAACATTTATGTATTTAACATAAATTATATGATTCAGAGTAAAATGCCTATAAATAACTAGTACTTTATTCATATAATAGAAGAAACTCGTAAAGAACTAGTAAAAAGTGGGTAATTTCTTTTTTTACTTTCACGTATTTAATTTATATTAAATATAAAATCTACTAGTTTTCCTTTCGTAATAACATTAGTGTAACACTTTTTGAATTTCACTTATCAATATTTATGTATTTAATATAAATTAAATGATTCAAAGTAAAATGCTCATAAATAACTAGTACTTTATTCATATAATGGAAGAAACTCGTAAAAAACTGGTATGTTATGGACAATTTTTTTACTTTCAAATACTTCATTTATATTCAATACAAAACATGCTAGTTTTCCTTTCGTAAAAATATTTGTGTAACTGCTTTTGAATTTTATTTGCAAATATTTATGTATTTAACATAAATTAAATGATTCAGAATAAAATACCCATAAAAACTTGGTACTTAGTTCATGTAATAGAGAAAAGTCATAAAGAGTTGGTATTTTATGGGATATTTTAAAAAAAAAATATTTAATTTATGTTAAATAGATAACCTACTAGTTTTTTTTCATAAGAAATTACTGTAACACTTTTTGAATTTTACTTAAAAATATTTATATATTTATTATAAATTGAATATTTGAGAGTAAAATGTCCACAAAAGCTAGTATTTTGAATAGGTAATGCCCATTAAGTAAGAACTTAAAATAATACCAAAATGGACAACTTGTTCAAGGAATTGTGTAATGTCCATAAAAAGTTGACTTGTGTTGGTTATAAAATGATATTTGAACATTTGTTAACAGCCACGTGGTCTTCACCATCCAAATTGAGTAAATTTCCGTTTTTTGACTAAATGTGGCAAAAAATCGTTAATTCATGTACTCAATGTGTTCTGACGAAAAGTTTGGGGACTAAATGTGTCTTGGTCACAAAGTTTGAGGATGAAAAGTGAATTTTTTCCGAGAAATAATAACAAGTAGTTATTATTTTATTTATTAAAATAAGAATAAAATAGTCATTTACAACATAAATGCATAGGCATATATGAAATAAGAATAAAATAATCATTTATAACGTAAATTTGTTAAAATATATTCATTTATAACTTCAAGCTTCGAATGTTTTATGTCATCTAGGAAGTTTTAGAAAATAATATCAACTTTAGGTTGATAGTCATTTCTAGACATGGCGAAATTAGTTCATAAATTAGACTATTTTATAGGGAAATAGTAGACTTGATGCACTTGTTAGAATAAAATGTCATTAGAGTAGTAGAAGTAAATAACTCCAAATTATCATATGATCCGATGGACCAAACGAACTCTTCATGAAATGAGAGATGGTTACTTATCTTTGGACGAGTAATCTTGTTGTCAAACGTTTGGTTGATTTTATTTTAAATGTTTAGTTTAACAAAAAAAACTAGGTTCCTTGTGTTTCGTCACGAATAGAATGAGATGAACTTACTTACTTATAGACCAAAATTGCTTTTTGCAGATCTACTTTTAATTCTATCAATAATAGAGGTAAATTAGTCCAAAAAAGTAAATTTTAATTGTCATGGCCAAAGTATTCCAACACATAAATTTTGTATTCACAGGAGTGGGTTTTAGAGAAAATGTTATTTATTTCTTTAACATGGGTAAATAGATAAAAAGTTTAGTTTTGCTAATTGTATGACCATATCGATCCAAAATCATGGTATATGATTAACTTAGATTAGTCCAAAACTTAATTTTTTTCCAATCACTTTTTGATTACATATATTAATATTAAATTTACAAAAAACATATAGATTTAATGAAAAAGGTTATCATTTATAGGATTGCAAAATGAGTTGAATTGACTCAATTTTCTTGACTTCTAGCACGTGGCATCATACAAAAAATCATAAGATGAAATTGTTTTCCCTTCTTTTATTTCTTTTTCTCTTTCTTCTCCCTTTCATCCTTCCCAATAGAAATTTCATTTCAACAAAAATTTTTGTTTTGAGTTTGTAATTGCATATTTCTAGGTGAAGGTTTAAAAGGTATCAAAAACTAATTTTGATTTTTTGTATGATGCCACGTGTCACAAATTTCAATTGACGATTATTAATCAGGTCATAATTTCATCTTAAGATATTTTCTTGAGAATAAAATGAGAAACTAAAAAGGAAAGAGGAAAACCCAAAATTAAAAGAATTGAAAGGCTAAAAAAATTGTATTTTAGGAAAGCGATTTGAATATTTTTTTAATCATTTAAGGAGAAGATAGATCTCTGCAATTTCTCTTTTTTAATTTCAATCATTAAGGTGAAGATTTTTGTGGGAAAGAGGAAGAATTAAATAAAGAAGAAAGAGAAAAAGAAATAAAAGAAAGGAAAACAAGGTAAATGAAAAGTCAAAATAATGCAAGGGCAATTTTGTCCTAAAGGGGGTTAAGTGAGCAAAATTAAAGGTTAGGGGGTAAACTGAGAAATGGGGTATTCTTTAAGGGGATAAAATGTGATTAACCTTAAAAATAATAAAAAATTTAAAGTGGTTCTTTTCATCTTTCGTATCAAAAAAAAGTCAAAATATTAATCTCTTTCTTCTTCGCAATCTTATTAATATTAAAATAAATAGAAAGTTTGGGAGAGGGAGGGAGAGAGGGAGAGGGAGATAGAGAGAGAGAGAGCTCAATTCTTTTTTTTTTATAAATACAAATAAGAAAGAATTAAATACTTTTATTATTTTAAAATTATTTTACTTTACTGTTTACCACCAGATTTTAATCCTAATCCCAACAAGCTTAAATTAATACGATAATGTTAGACCTTTCTTTATTATTTTCTTTGTAAAATCTAATTTTCTATCTCCTTTTTTTCCTATCTTTTTTTCTTTTCCTAATATTAATAAGTATGAAAAAAGAAATTTGAGAAAATCCTTTTATTTTTATATTTTTGGATCTCTTAAAGTGGAAAACAGAAGAATAATTATTCCAACTTTTTTATTTTTAATTATATATATAAAAGGGTCAATATATTTAAAAATTTGACCATACTAATTAGATTAATGACGAAGTAAAATGCCTAGAAAATAATGTTAGGAATTAAAGCGATTATATCACTATAATTTAAAGGAATAAAGTTATAATAATAATATAGTAATGCTATAGAATAAAAGGATATTTTTGTCCAAATTTTCTTAATATGTTAAGTTAAATTACTTATGGAGGTGAAGTGACGAAAAGATAACACTAGGGGATAAACTGATAGTAGTAATATAGTTGAAGGGGATAAAGTGATAATAACCCTAAGCAAAATTACACTTGTTTTCTTCAAGAAGCAAATACATTTCCTTTAAGGCGATACTGTTATAGAATCAACTAACTAGTAATCACGAAGAATTAAAAGGGAGTGTCAAACTTATAAACTGCATACAATCTTGGATCATCCATTACACACGACATTCGCACTAATTTTTTGTAAAAATGGAATTACTACGAAACACATTAAAAAAATAACATTAGACGTAAGAATTATTATAAATGTCTATCATAATAAATAGACTACAATTGTGCCCGTATTCAAAAATTCCCCCCCTGTAATTTTTTTCCCTTCAATGTTTATCCCAAACAACTTAAGTGAATAGCTTGTTATTTGATTTTTACATGGTTAAGTCTTTTTTTAACATCTTATATGCATAGTGAGAAGTATTTAGGAAGCAATCAATCCTCATTTTCAGATGGACCAACACTTTATATGGGATGAATTCCTTGATTTGTTTACTAACTTGCAACTTCTCTAAATCGCTGCATTGCCTGATTCTCAGGCACTGGAGCTGCGGTAATGCACCTTTCTCCACACTTATTGGGTCATCCGTGAGATCTCTAAATTTCAAAGACAAACGAGAAAGATTTGGAGGGAAATCAGGAGGCAGCATTCTCAGAAACAGCCCGGATCGCTTAAGCTGTGTTACATGATGCAGCCTAGAAAGTCCCACCACCTAGAGACTGTGGCCCTCCCCATTGAGTCTGAAGATGTAAGGTCCTCAGGCTTCCAACCTTAGAGTTTATGAAGGTTACATGAACTAGTAACTAGAACAAGAAAAATATAGTAATTCATTTAAATGCATTTTTGAATAAGGTTAGTTGCTGGTTTATTTTAATTCTGCACTTAGTGAACTGTTTTTTTTTTTTTTTTAAATTTAATTCTTCTTGTATTAATATGATACATGCAATGTAAATTGATAGAGAGAATTCGTATGAGGTGTAGGTGTAGGCAGTGTTAGTTACCCAAAATATCATTAATAACAAAAGAGTAATGAGTTTGTTTGGACAAAGAAAATTTAGAAAAAAAAATTTTGCCTCACAAATCCCAATCACATTTTTATCTTCTCAACCACCTTTTTATCTCACATACATCACATCACAAAAGTGCTACAGTAAATATCTCAAATAAATCATCCAAATAAACTCTTATCCAAACAAACTCATTCTTTTGTTTGGACAGCTCCCAATTTTCCCAATTTTATTTACTTACATCATCTTTACAATTTCCAACACACCTTTTTATCTTTCCAATACCTTTTTATCTCACATACATCATATCACAAAAAGTGCTACAGTAAAAATATCCCAAATAATCCCAAATAACTTACAATCCAAACAGATTTATAGTGGGATAATTAAAAAAGCAAGCATTGAAGTGAGATTTCAAATTTTAAAAAAAATGGACTTAAAAAGCTTGTCTGAATTATATGACGAAAAATAAAGAGTGAAATAGCGGCAAAGCAAAGTATGTTGAATTGGGGGAAACAAAAGTTATGTTGAATCGGAAACGTTCATTTTATTTATATATTTTGATAAAAACTTGAAATAATTTTATTAATCACTACCCGACATAGCTTGCTTTTTACGCATGAATTACAACTGCTACCACCTTTCCTTCGGCAAGTCAAAATATTCTGAGGTTAGGGACGCGGGATACCATGTCCGCATCAAGCCCTCTGATGAAAATTTTCGGCATTTTGACAAGCTCAAGCGTATCAAGAGTAGATATGTGCTTCAGCTCTTCCGGCAACTTTTCTAATCGGAAGCACATCCTGAATCTCAGGCACCGGAGCTGTGGCAATGCACCTTTCTCCACCTCTATTTCCTTCAAACCATGTTGGAAGTTGAGCTCAAGGAATTTCAATTGGTGAAACCCATGCCTAGAAATGACTAGCTGCGGCCCCTTATACGCATCTTTCATTTTGAGGAACGACAGCTGTCCCAACTTCTCTAGCGTTGGCATTGGGTCATCCGTGAGACTTGTGAATTTCAAAGACAAGCGAGAGAGATTTGGAGGGAAATCAGGAGGCAGCATTCTCAAATTGAATAGCTTAAGCTTTGTTACACGATGGAGCTTAGAAAGTCCAGCTAGACATTGTGGCTGCCCGCTTCCTCGAGGACAATAAAGATGTAGCCTCTTTAGGCATCCAATCTCAGATAAATGCATGCAGAGTTTGTCTATCTCTGACCCGGCATCCACTACAATCCCCAGTTTCTGAAGACTTGTCAAAGTTATCATGTTATTGTGCATAATGTCATCAAAGCGTATGCCTGACAGAGTCTGGAGATTCCTCAATCCTTCAATCTTAAGAGGCACATCACATTTCATACCAAACGCATATAGATGCCGTAAACTTTCAAGCTTCCAAATGAAATTTGAAACTCTCACTGGGGAATATAGAGACGTTGTCCGTATGTCAAGAGTTTGTAGGTTTCGCAAACAACCGACGGAAGGGGGGAGCCTTCCAATGAGTGTGCATCTTAAATTGAGGTACCTTAACAGCCTGACTTCACCAATTTCTTTTGGCAAATCATAACCCATCCTAACATTCTCAAGGTCCAGTATCCTAAGCTTTCTGAAACTTTTGAAGCTAAGATTAATGCTTTTCACGCAATCGTGGACGTTGAAACAAAGTAGAGACCGGAGAGGAGGGGTCGAAGACCCAAAATAATTTTCATCCAGAGGGAGAACATGAACAGCAAGGTACCTGGATTTGGCTGATATTTCATCATCTCTGGTGTCATGGATCTGAAAGAAATTTTCATCCTCTGCCTTTCTGATTGCAAGCTCTCGCAGTAAATCATGGACTCTGCAACTTTTAATCCTCTCATCAACAGTCATTTCCGCCACTTGGACCATATTTCTGCTACAAAGTCGTTCCACATCATCATATGCTGCAGTTTCCTCCAAATTTTTTGTATCTCTTTTTTGCATTATTCCCTCTGCAACCCACATATGGATCAACTTGCGCACAGAAATCACGGAGTCTTCGGGAAACAAACCCAAATACAGAAAGCAAAATTTCAGATTGGCAGGAAGGTCTGCATAACTTAATTCCAGAATTGCTGATACCCCACTCTGGCTCCTTGATAGGTACGTGCTGAAATTGTTGAGAATTTTCTCCCATTCACTCTTCAACTTTTTCTTTGCCAGTAGCAGGCCACCAATAACCGTGATGGCCAGCGGCAGACCATCACATCTTCTGGTAATCTCTCTGCCTACTTCTTCCAAATCGGGAGGACACCCAGCATTATCCCCTAAGGCCTTTCTGAGGAACAACTGCCAGCTGTCTTTCGGCCCCAAAGTTTTCAACTCATACGGGTGTCTATAAGCATCTGCGTGTTGGGCAACATCCCGATTGCGACTTGTAAGTAGCACTCTACTTGATGTGCCAACGTCAGGAAAGGCCCTCCTGGCAAGACAATCCCACGCTTCTTCCTTCCACACATCATCAAGTACCACAAGATAACACTTGTCTTGTAGATCTTGATAGAGCCTTCGTTCCAAGTCTTCCTCTTCCATATTTTCCAACATTTCAAGTAGCTTGTTATCCATCGTATTTAATTCCTTTATGATTGATCTCAGCATCTTTTTGTGATCGTAGATTGAAGAGACGCAGACCCAAGCACGACAGTTGAATCTTTCCCTGACATCAGCATGGTTATAAACTTTTTTGGCTAGAGTTGTCTTACCAGCACCTCCCATGCCGACAATTGAAACCACACGGCGGTTAATGTCCTCTTTCAAGAGTTCTGCCACCAGGGATTTTGTTATCTCCCCAAAGCCCACTATATCCTTGTCCTCGATGAGAGGAGAGGATCGCCGGATCCGTTGAAGCTCTTCTTCATGTGTAGTCATCTCCTCTCCAAGATTTTTGATACCATACTCTTCGCGGCTAGCAGCAATCTCCTTGAGCCTCATCCGTAGGGATTCAATCTCTTTACCTATCTTGTAGAGGTTCACAATTTTCAAGGGATAATACGTCAATTTGGTGACGAGTCCCTTGTCCTTTGTGAAGAACTCAACTTTGCTGGCAAAGATCTCAATGATATCCTCCGCATCGTAGGCCGCAGCTCTGATTTCAGAAACCCAGTTGCGGATCCTCGCGTCGTCATCTTGCCTTTGATCAGCATCTCTCAGGAAAAACCGCATCCGGACCAGATCATTTTGGAGCCTCTCAACTTGTCTTCGAACGCCTCTCAGGAAAACAATTTTTTGAATCAGCAGATCGCCAGTTTTCTCAATAACAAGAGAGATAACAGGGTCAGCCATCCTGGTAAAGTGAGCTTTGCTTTCAACGACTAGTAAAGGGGGAGAAGCTGTTGCCTGTTAGGTGCAGCTGCAAAACTTCTAATCTCTGTTGCTTTTAACTGATCTCAGAAGAGAGGCTCGGTTCTGAGATTCTCACGTGGTTCACTTCCTCGATTCACGTGGTTCACTTCCTTAATTCATTGACTTTTTAGAAGAGCAATTCTTCCGGTCTAAATGAATGCAAATGGTAGGGACGTCTGGGAGCCCTCAAAAATTTAAAAAAAAAACAGAAAAAAAGGTGTCTTCACATGGTAGGAAGTCTGGTGACGTGTCTTGCGATGGTGGAATGGAAAGCCGAACAGTTTACGTACGCGGATTTGTCTTCAGTGTGGACAAAACACCCAATACTTGGCATTATAAGTATCCAGTGAAAACCAAACCAAATGAATTCTAGGAATCTTTGGGACAAATTTGTGCTTCCAAAGCCTAATTTTAGTCCACCTAAGGGTAACTTGGACAGCTTCTCTTTCACTTTCCTAATTTGTATTTTTTGATTCATTATAAAACAATGTTCTAAGTCATTGTTAATCTTGGGAGAAATCTGTGCAATACGCTTGAATTTAAAATTAACAAAAAGAAAAAACAGATAATATGATGGGAGGAGTAGATGATGGTTACGTTCATGAGATTAATAATAATGAGATGCTCTATTGTTGTCTATATAACAAAAATACATCTCAACTACAAAAAAATAAAATAAAAGAATTACTTATTTGAAATCAGAATCTATAATTAATTAAAATAATCAATGGAAAACCAACCCAAAAAGTATTTGCAAAGGATGTTTAATTCTACTGTCCATCAAGATGTGTTTTAGTACCAAAACACTCATCTAGCTTCAGTTCTTTACATGTAGTAACGCCTAAAATTAAAATAAAGTTTCCCATCTTGACCGTCATGCATATTGCTTTGTAAGTATCTTTAACTTGCAAAGCATATTACTCCAACTTCTCTCTCTCTCCTTCCTTTTTATTATATATTTTCTTGTCTGTTAAGAATCTAATATCCTAGAAATGAAACAAAATCCAGCATTTGGAAAATGAAAAACAGGCTATCTAAGAGTAGGATTGTTGTATGTCTTTCAATATGGTGGTTTTCTTTCGGAAATTATTGCACCGTGAATACCATTTTTGTGTGAGAAAAATCACTAGGCAGCCACAGAAAGCAAACAGCCTAAGTGAACGTCAGACGGTAGTATAGTGGATATTTTGCTGTTTTTGTGTGTATAATTAGTTTTTAAAGTTTAAAGTTGTCTAAATTTTTAATTCACTAGCACCTTACTACCTGAATTTTTAAGTGCAAAAAACTTCCAAAGAGTACAAATTTTAAAAGAAGAAGGCTCCCAAAAGAAGGAAAGTAAAAAAAAAAAACCCTCCTTCAACTCGTGTGGTCCACGAAATTATCTTCAAGAAACAAGTTTTGCTTTATACCTATATACTATTATTAAAAATTTTTAACTTTCAGCACCATTATTCCTAAATTTATACTCATGAATGCGCAACAGTTATATAGTTGATGAATTGGGATTTCGCTATATTGAATTCTGCAAGTTCAAATAAATTTGGACTTTTAAATTGCAATAAATAGTATAGTAGCCTAATGGGTTCCATTTAACAAGATTTAATTGAAATTTGGTAGTTTAGTTCAATAATAACTCCGTAGTTTTTCAAAATATTACTGTTTTTTTTTTTTGTCAATCATTATCTTATCTATCCTGCACTATTCTAAATTTCTAATTTATGTAAGAGATCCAATTGGATCTGGGGAGCTCTGAGAATTGAATCACTATCCAACCAACAGTTACACTGAGTATCCGTCTCAATTTTCTTAAGAAATCATTTAATATGATAATTGATGATATGCAAGGTTTACCCCACCGAGCATTTAATGTCTTAGTAGTTGCTACCAGGCTGTAATCCATTACATCCAAATTGGACGGAATTGATACCGGTTATCGGGTTTGGGTTGCATTCCTCTCAAAATCAAAGCTTTGATTGCTGTGTTTGTGTGTCTGCAGAAATTTATTGGCTGGTAGTAAGTGCCCATGGTTTTGGATGCGACGGTAAAGTCTTGGTATGAACAGGCAACAATCAATCAATTTTTCACAACCAAGACACCTTTATGGGTCCACGGTTTTGGATACTATAATAACAAAGTCTAGGTCTTTGGCATGGTGGACGCCTCTACAGTCTAGTATCAAAATTATTCAAGTGGTGTGAAAATTAATAAAATATAAAAGAGGAAGTTAGATTAAAACTTATCAACTAATACAGCAAAAACTCAGTAATAGCCCACCGCGTGAAAAGTGAAGAAGAGTATTAGTTGTTCAATATAATATGAAAATATTTTAACATCAACTTGTTAAATAAGAATAAAATAGTCATTTATAACATCAATTTGTTAAATATATTCATTTATAACTTTGAGTTTCGAATGTTTTATGCTACCTAGGAAGTTTTAGAAAATAACATCAACTTTAACTTGATAGTCATTTATAGCCATGGTCAAATTAGTTTACAAATTAGACTATATTATAGGGAAATAATAGAGTCGATGTAATTGTTAGAATAAAATGTCATTATTGTAATAGAAGTAAATAACCCCAAGTTATCATATGATCTAATGGACCAAACGAACTCTTCATGAAATGAGAGGTGTGTTGTCAAGTGTTTGGTTAATTTTACATTAGATGTTTAGTTTAACAGAAAAACCAAGTTCTTTGTGTTTCGTCAGGAATAGGATGAGATGTATTTACTTACTTATAGACCAAAATTGCTTTCTGGCAAATTTACTATTAATTCTATCAATATATAATAGGGGTAAATTAGTCCAAAAAAGTAAAGTTTAATTGTCATGGCCAATGTATTCCAACACATAAATTTTGTATTCGTAGGAGCGCGTTTCAAAGAAAACATTATTTATTTCTTTAACATGGGTAAATGCATAAAAAGTTTAGTTTTGTTAGTTGTATGACCACATTGGTCCAAAACCATGGTATATGATTAACATAGATTAGTCCAAAACTTAATTTTTTTCATTCATTTTTTGATTACATATATTAATATTAAATTTACTAAAAAATGTAGATTTAATGAAAAGGTTATCATTTATAGGATTGCAAAATGAGTTGAATCGACTCAATTTTCTCGACTTCCAAGACGATCCTGAGCTCCGTGAGTTTTCATTGTAAAACTAGAGTTCAACATTGATCTCGAGTTCGAGCATAGTTGAGCTTGAGAGAAATAATAAGTAATTATTTTATTTATTAAAATAAGAATAAAATAGTTATTTACAACATAAATGCATAGACATTTATAAAATAAGAATAAAATAGTCATTTATAACGTAAATTTGTTAAAATATATTCATTTATAACTTCAAGTTTCGAATGTTTTATGTCATCTAGGAAGTTTTAGAAAATAATATCAACTTTAGCTTGATAGTCATTTATAGTTATGGCGAAATTAGTTCACAAGTTAGATTATGTTATAGGGAAATAGTAGATTTGATGCACTTGTTAGAATAAAATGTCATTATAGTAGTAGAAGTAAATAATTTCAAATTATCATATGATCCGATGGACCAAACGAACTCTTCATGAAATGAGAGATGGTTACTTATCTTCGGATGAGTAATCTTGTTGTCAAATGTTTGGTTGATTTTACGTTAGATGTTTAGTTTAACAGAAAAACTAGGTTCTTTGTGTTTCCTTATTAATAGGATGAGATGAGCTTACTTACTTATAGACCAAAATTGCTTTTTGCAGATCTACTTTTAATTCTATCAATAATAGGGGTAAATCAGTCCAAAAAAGTAAATTTTAATTGTCAAGGCCAAAGTATTCCAACACATAAATTTTGTATTCGCAGGAGTGGGTTTCAGAGAAAACATTATTTATTTCTTTAACATGGGTAAATAGATAAAAAAAAATTTAGTTTTGCTAATTGTATGACTATATCGGTCCAAAATCATGGTATATGATTAACTTAGATTAGTCAAAACTTAATTTTTTTTTCAATCACTTTTTGATTACATATATTAATATTAAATTTACAAAAAACATATAGATTTAACGAAAAAGGTTATCATTTATAGGATTGCAAAATGAGTTGAATCGACTTTATTTTCTTGACTTCCAGCACGATCCCGACCTCCATGAGCTTTCATTTTAAAACTCGAGTTCAACATCGATCTTGAGTTCGAGCCTAGTTAAGCTCAAGAAAAATAATAACAAGTGGTTATTATTTTATTTGTTAAAATAAGAATAAAATAGTCATTTACAATATAAATGAATAATCATTTATAACAAGTCATTGGTAAACAAGTCATTTATAGTCATTGGTAAAATGTTAATTGTATCACGATATCAGTCCAAAATCATGGTACATGATTAACTTAGATTAGTCCAAAACTTAATTTTTTTATTAGTTATAGCAAATAAAGCCAAAATTCTATTGTTTTATTAATATGTAGTTAACATAGTTATATAGTTGTTTGAATAAATTATTATATATAAGATATTGCATTAATGTTCGTAGATTATAATAAAAGTAATATAAGGGGCACAAATTGATGAAATGGACGGAATCAAAACGTGTACAATTTACTAGGGATAAAAATTTTTGCAAATGCATGGGCTTGTTTTCTACTTCAAAGTTCAAACTAGGAATAAATTTCACAATTGCTGCAAAGTTCACTTCCCGCCAGCCAGATGCCAGGTGGGATCCCTAATTTTGAAACATCAATTAATCTCCTGTAGGATTTTGCTTGGCGTTTATTCCTTTCCAATGCTAGTGCCACCATTCCTACAGTCAAAGTCCATGGATTAGACTGTTGCCATCATTCGTTCCCCTGCATACTTTCGCTTGCTGATCTTAAGGACAATGTTTTAAAAATCGGACCGTTAATTGAACCGGTGAAGTGAAAGGGTCGAGATTCAATCGATCGGATCGGTTCAATCCCGATTCAATGAATTTTTTTAAAAATAATTTATATAAATATATATATGCACAAAATAAGACATGTAATGGATAATTTAATACTTTATATGATGAAAAGTTTACTATTTTTGAATAACTCGGATTTTTAAAAATAATTTTTTAAATTATAAGTTAAAACAAATAAATTTCATCTCAATTTCAATTATATCTACCAAAAAAATCTTAAATCCAATCCAAAAATATCACAATATTTGAAATTATACAAAATTCATGTCAATGAGAATTTAAACATTGTGTACTTAAATTTTAATTTACATTTTAAAATTTAAATTTACAATTCAAAAAAGGAAGTTTGGAGTTCGAAGAAAATCAAGAGAATTGAAAATATAAATGCAAATTTGATACGAAACAAAAAATGAGATAAAAGTGAGTGGTTGTGGTATTAAATAAATTGGGTTAAAGAAAAATAATTCTTTTTTAACTTTTTTAAATTTAATGGACAAAAACAAAATTAAAATA